GAACCACAAAAGCAAGTTCTCTGCGCTTATTTACAAGTAATTCATTTCTGTTCTAGATGCGCCTACTACCATTTTTGGCTCTCATATTGGTATCTGAACTTGTCGAAGTTCAAGCTGATTGTTGTCTCTTGTCTTGCCTGGGTGTCCCCGCCGGTACTATTGTTCAATTCGGCGGTACAACACTTCCACCCCGATGGTTGTGGTGTAACGGGCAGACAGTAGCGATCGCGGACTATCCCACCCTGTGTGCCGCTATTGGAAACAACTTTGGCACCACTGATGGTACTCATTGTACATTACCCAACTTCCAAGGAAAGTTCAGTAAGGGTTCGGACCTTATACCAAGTTCATCCCTAGGTACAGGTGGTCTTAGTTCGGTCACGTTGGGAATAAATAATCTTCCGTCACATGTTCATGGGGTCTCGGCAATAAGTATTACTGGCGGTACACACACTCATACTATTAACGATCCTGGACATGACCATGGAAATTCGACATATCCGGCAAACATCGCTGACAATGCGCAAAACGCACCGGCGGGCGATGCTAAAAGAATTACTGCAGCACAGGGCAGTGCAGCTGGTCACAGGCATGGTATTCCACCTGGCTTCACAAATATATCAGTGAACCCAAGTGGCGCTCATTCGCATAGTGTTAATGGTTCCACGGATCCTGCGGGTCTTGCTAGCCCACAGTCAATTACCATCGACCCACCTTACCAAAGAACCAATTTTATTATATTTGCTGGATGCAGCTGTCCGAATTAAAATCGTTAAGACAAGATCGGGAAAATGGAGGTTGTGGCTGTGAATATGGATTTCGGTGCTATTACAGTGACGCGGCATGAACGCATTATTTATCCAAGCATCATTGTCTATTCCTTTTAATCATCTTTAGAGTTTTATTAGTTATTCTTTCGCTTTCATATTTATCGAATGGTGTCACAGGTCTGAAAAATCGGGGATCCTAGAGATCTCTAAGGAGATCTCTAGGATCCCCGATTTTTTTAGATCTGTGACACCATTCCACTGCTGATTTCTATATTTTTTTTGTTTTGTTGTTTCCTTTCTTCTTTATCTATTCTTGTTATGATGTTAAAAAAAAGAAAGAAGTTTTTGTAAACTCAAACTTTTTTCTTCATCCGGGAAGGGTGTTAGGGTCTGACATCTTTAATAGTTAGTGTAAGAGGTCAACAGCTGCTTATGTTTAGTTTTTTGTTTTCTTTTTCTTTTCTCTCTCTCGCTCGTTCATTCCCTTTTTATATTATGTTCCATATAATTTCTCACTGCCTTATTATGTATTATATTATATTATATTACGAAATAAACTTAACCTTTGAAAAGGGACATAACAGCTTACTTGCTTATATTTGTAAATGCAGAGCTCTGATGAGTGTTTTAATATTTTAATAAATAACACGAAACGCGTCGGCAAAATTAACTCTGCATTTTGTTTTCAATCATTTTTTATTTAAAAAACAAATTTATTTGTTCCAAAGTTCAAATTTACACTTAAGTTTTGACTAGATCGATTGCTGAAAAGCAAGAGTTGAGAATAGCAGATTAATTTGCATGCCAGATATATAAGTGGATCTGTTTTTCATTGATTTATGGCAAACGGTGACTATACATCATATTAAACAAAGAATTATGTTATACTTTTGTTTGATAATAAAAAGAAAGCGAATAATAAAGGTTTGGAAAAAATGGGGGGGAAGAAAGACTTTTGCCCACAGGTGTAATTGTAATATTTTAATTGAATTTAATTCTTTTTATCCTAATTGCAATTTATTGTACATTTGTATTATTTTGTTGCTATCGTTTTGTAATTTTTAAATTATATTTATTTCATTTTTGTTTAGTGCAGTGTGTTGTTTATTTTATTTTTTCCATTTTATCGTAATTTTTAAAATTTTTTCTATTGTGTTGCATTTTTAAGCTTATTTTATTGTGTTGTAGTTTTTTATTATATTTTTGTAGTTTGTTATGTTTTTTTAATTTTATTATATTTTTTATTGTCTTATATTTTTCTTTGTTTTATAATATTTTGTAATTTATAATATTTTTGGATTTTGCCATTTTTTCGTAACTCTGTTGTATTTTTTTATTTTGTTATAGTGTTTTTTATTTTATTAGTTTTGTATATTCTTGTATTTTTTCGATTTTATTATATTTTTTATTGTGTTATATTTTTCTTTATTTTATTACGTTACAGTTTTTTATTTCCTTGTATGTTTGTACTTTGTTATATTCTTTTTGTTTTATTATACATATTTTTTTTCTTTTATGTTTTTAAATTTTACATTAAAAAAAGGCGGAAATGAACTGAATGTAAACTATGAATCGACAGATCAAAGTATTTGAGGAAAAAAGTAGGGGAGGAGTGGAGTCAGAAAAGTTCTAATTTCAAAAGGGCTCCAGCAGAATTCTGTCGAATTCCCTGGGTGTCCGACATTTTCCGACTCTCGGATTCAGCTGTCGGAAATCGTCGGATCCGACAACGTCCGACTGGATTCCGCTACGAAGGTCTCCAGCTATTTCCGACATGGATCCTGTCGGAATTTACCGGATTAAGCCAGATTTCTAACAGGATCCAGGACGTGGATTACTCGACGCGGGTAGTAATAACAGGTTGTGCGGCAATAATTTCTTCTTATTGGCATTACCTTGAAAACTTGTTTCAATGATCGACATACATGTATTATAATTATAATGATTAAAATCAAAGTATACCAACAAAAATAAATGAATAAATTAGATGCACAAAAACAATAAATACAAGAATCGAGTTCTTTTCGGAATCTCTCGTTAGACTTGTTCAAACAAATGAGAATTATACAAGTTATTTTATTTTGATGTCTTCTCCTTTAGATTCAAGATTAAATTTGCTGAACAAATATCTAAAATGGAGTTCTTGGTTGAAAATTCAAAGACATGACTTTCTCAAACCTATTCCGTATATTTGTTAATCAATTATGATATTAACAGAAAGAAAATACACACACCTATGTATGAAATCTACTTGTTATAGATACATAAAATGAACAGTACAATGTTGAAGGAATGAATTGAGTCTTTTTTTTTCAAAAATCTCTGTGTCAAAATCTATTCCAAGTATATTTATAAAAAGATTTTTTGATAAAATATGAGATCAAATTTCAATTGAATAAAGACATTGATCAATATGAATGTTAATTCAATTCGTATTGAATGATAATAAAGTTATTATTGTTAATATTGATAGTTATTTTTTGCTATTGCTTTACAAAGTCACCAATTGTTACTGTTCTCTTTCCTTTCCTGTCCTTTTTTAACTTTCTTTTTTTTATAGATATGCACAACTATATGTGTTTTGATGTACGTATATATGATCTTTATTTCGAAAAAAATGATTAGTATCAACTAGGTTAAATAAAAAAGTACATGTGTATGTTAAATATGAAAACTAAAAAGAGAAACTAAGAAAAATTCCAAATATGATTAAAAGAGATAGAGAATAATGCTTGGATAAAGAATATATGTTTATGCAGTGTCACTGTAATAGCACCCAAATCCACACTCACAGCCACACCGTCCGTTTTCCAGATCTTATCTTAAGTAGCTCAACTCGGACAGCCGCATCCAACAAATATAATAAAATTGGGTGTTTGGAAAGGTGGTTCGATGTTAATTGGCTCTGGGATAGATTCACTTGTATCAGCTGTGCTACCAGAAATTGTATGCGTATGAGTGCCATTTGGGTTTATTGATATATTTGTTGTGTTCAATGGAATAGTATGCCTGTGACCTTGTTCGCCGCCCTGTGCTGCAGTAATTCTTTTAACAGTGCTCGTCTGGCTTGTTTTTTCGTCTGTAGTGATGTCTGCCGGACCCATCCACCCTCCATCGTCATGTCCAGGATCGTTAACAACATGACTGTGTTCACCGTTGGTAACAGCAGTTAGTGACCCGGGCCCGTGTGAATGTAATGGAAGGTGCTCTTTTGCCAATATAGCCGTCAGACTACCGCCTGAAACAAAGGGCAAACTAGACGTAGAGTCCGAACCCTTAGGGAATTTTCCTTGGAGATTTGGTAATTTGCAATTACCAGCACTAGCGATGCCAAAATTGTTTTTAATAGCGGCACACGGCTGGATACGTCGTATTCGATACTTCCTGCCCGTCACACCACAACCATCGGTCTGGAAGTTCTGTACCGCCGAACTGAACAATAGTTCCGACGGGGTTACCCAGGTACAACAACAAACAACAATCAGCTTGAACTTCGACAAGCTCATATACCAAAATGAGTGACAGAAATGTTATTAGAAACATCTAGAACAAAAATTATTTAGATTTGTTTATAGAAATGAATTACTTGTAAATAAGCACAGACAGCTTGCTTTTGTGGTTCTTCTATGCTGCAAAAAAAATAGAGATGAACTGTAACAGTTTCTTAAACAGACGAAGCAAGTGTGATCAAAAAAATCTCGATTTCGAAATGAAATAGAGATTGGGTATCTTAGAATGATTTTTCATTCTTTCTATACTAGGACAATTTTTTTTACATGTTTCACATGTCCGTTTTGAAAGTGATTGTTGAACTGTTGTACAAAAAAAGATCAAATGGAATACTGTCAGATTCAATTTCTTCACAGACAAATCTATTTAATTGTAAACACTGAAATATTGAGCCATAATATTTTTCCGATACGAAATCATGTGCTGTAATAACAAGACCAGATGAAATTTGTGCAAATAGAACAGGTGGTGGTAGAAAATGTTGAGGAAAGATTTTAAGAAATTTTGATCTCCTTCGCCAGCTTTCTGAAAATTGTTTTTTTTTCTAATTCGAAATTAATTGTATTGCCGTTAGCATCAAGATGAGTACCAAAGTGATCATGATGTAAAATTAAATTCATTAAATCATGTGAAAGTGATGCCATACGAAGCTCAACAGCATTAGATGCTGATTGACCAGGTGCATGAACAAGTACAAACAGTGCATCAAGATCATGAGTTTTGAAAATATCAATACATAATGCAAATGTTTTTGGAAAACAAGAATTTTCATTGGATTCATCGTCGACAGTAATAATAACGATTGATTTAACTTTATTCGAAAAGTCAAGTGCAGCATTTGCAAATTCTTATAATTTGATCAAATGATCAAAATCATCTCGATGATTACTGAATAACTAACATCTTCAATAGTGTTGATCAAGCATGCCATATAGATATTGAAAAAATAAATAAATAGTACGCTAAATATTTATCAAGAAGTTACATTTTATGTTACTTTGGAGTTAATTGATGGCAAGGTGCTACAATAAAATCATGATCAAGTAGTTGAATAACATAGTCGAGGTGCATCAATAAAGAAACTATGTCTTTTACAAATCCAATTGTTACAGCAGCAAAATGACTATCTTCATGATGTTTATTGTGAAGATCGTTATGCAGTTTTAGAAGACGCACATTTACTTTGTAAACATGTTTTTTTTTCCATCATGAAAGAGTGAACGACGAGGTAAAAGACTCAAATTAAAATAGAATAAATGTGGAAACCTCGGACTTAAGTCCGAGAGTTATGTGTACTTCAAAAAGTGAATGAGACAAGTCAGTCATCCTAGAATATGTGGATATACAAATTAGCTTGGCAAACCTTTTCTATAAACAATTGAATTCTATTGTCTACTGCTCAATCAATAGAATTTGGGGGCGGATACAGCTCAGATTTGAACTCTTCACCTTAATTTACCCTCAGAAAGTCGTTCTTTCTATAACTTGACTTCTATTGATCAGTGCTCAACCAATAGGGCATCGAAACAAGTGGAGTACAGATTCGAGTTCTCCATCCCAGAAAACCTTCCAGCATCACCTCTTATCGGAAGATAGTGCTTGAATTGTGGATCAGTTAGAGCATGGACAAGAACAGAACCGATTTCCGTTTATTTATCTTTGCAATAGGTGAGCTAGCCTTCTTGTTTCTTTATGTTTTATACATCATTTTGTAGCTCGTAAAATTCTCTATCAAATGGTATATAATAGTTGGGGTTTTGTTTGAGTATGATAGGAAAAGTTTTTTACGAAAGCGGGGATGGGTCGATTTTCGCATAGGAAGCCATAGGAAAAAATGAGTATTTTTGCAATAACTCAGGAATGGTTCGGCCAATTCTTCTCATCTTCGAACTTCTCCGAGACATTATTAAGACTGAACTGTGTAGAAAATTTCATCGCGATTGGACTCTTCTTTCAAAAGTTATCGTGTAAAGGGCCGGACGGCCAGACACACTGACCGATTCTAGAGTGTACTCACTTTTTGAGTACACAAAAACGTATAACAGTTTCAACTTCTAGCAGCACCAAAATGTAGATTAAATATGTTCGATTGCAGAGTCTTCTGTGTTTCATCGGAATATTAAACGATATAATAATTATTGTTCGTTCGGATTTACTCTGCTGTACAAAATTGACAACAAGAATCGAATCATTTTTTTTAGAAAACAAGGCTAAATTTATGTTGAAATAGAGTTCTTTTCGATATCCACAGTCAATTCAATTTATAAATCGCAATTCCAGATATCTACTTCTGTGCGAACGAGAAACTTGTTTACATAAAACAGTATTTTATCATCTTTTGATAAAAGATTACTTTTGTCTCATGAAACAATAATAGTTCGTTTGTTTTTCTTTACTTGAATCGATCATCGCTCACATACCTTAATAGCTTCAGACATATATAGTGACGTTATTAAAGAAAAAAAAATACTGGATAATATGAATTGACATTGATATTCGAACTGACTTATCCATTTATGATTAATGTATGAATTTGAATTCTCTGTCTTTATCAGTTATAAATGTCAAAATAAAAAACAAGCCAAAACAGGAAAAAATTGATCTCATATCTAAACAGTATCACTCGATGCATTTTACAATCCGTTTCTCAAGTCTCAACTTCAAAAACTCCAATAATCCTGAAAGGAAAAGAGAAAATCCCAGCAGATATATTTCATATATTGTACAAGTGCTTCGAATCTCCTTTTGAAATTTGCATCGAAAAGACGTGTAAAATTTTTGAACTTCTAGTAACATGAAATTATGGATTGAACATGTACGATTGCACGGTGTTGTCTGTTTCATTAGAACAGTAAACCATTTAATAATTGCTGGTGGTTTAGGTTTACTCTGTTCTGCAAAACTGATAAAAAAAATTGAATCATTTTTTTTTAAACAGGCTAAATTTCAGTTTGAAATAAATTTGTCTTCGACATCCACGATTAATTCAAATTTTAACGCGCAATTCGAGACATCTGATAATGTGCATATGAAAAGCTTGTTTACATGAAAAAGTATTTTGTCACGTTTTGATAAAATATTACTTTTGTCTCATGAAAAGATAATGGTTGGTTTGTTTTTGTTTACGTCAATTGGTTATCGCTCACATGCTGTGATAATCTTGTACATTTAGTGACACTATGAAAGAAAAAGAAAATTATACTGAATAAAAGAGAGCCTTTCAAAAGAGATACTTTTTCTAATAATACTTCGCTACTTAATAATTAAGTTGTTGATAATTTTCGTTCATGGCACTATTTGTTGTAACTAACTATTTAGAATCTAGCGCTATTGAACATGAGTTGCCTAATTCGAATTCGAATATAAATGGAGATCTAACTAACCCATACGAGCTCGAAAATAAAAAAAAACGCATCCCTCTCGAAACAGCAGCAAAAGAAAAAGAAAAAGTTTTGTGTAAATTATAAATTTATAAATTATATAAAACTATTTCTTTTTCTTTTGCTGCTGTTCAACACCGGGTACCTTTTCGATTTTATGAATTTATAGTTGATGTAAAACTTTTTCTTTTTCTTTTGATATGTTGAAAACATGGACGCGATTTTTTTTAAATTGCTCATTTATATTCGAACTCGAATTAGGCATCTACTCTTGCTTATATATATTATATGAAGATTCAATGTCTTTATCTTTTAATCTAAACCATTCGATTTTGAAAATTGAAAATTTACTGCATATTTCTTTTAACTTTTTCTAAATTCTTCTATTAGAATAAGTTAAGAGACTTTTTTCACTTCGATTATTGACAAAATTTTACGACGCATCTATAAAAAAAAATTAAACTCTATGATTTGTCTGTACAGAGATCAATGCAAAGTAGATATTATTATAAATATTGTTGCTACTGTCAACATAATAGGAAATAATGATCTTTCAGACATCCTTACTTTTAGCTTTCTAAAAATTCATCAAAACAAGTCAAAAGAAATTTTTGTTAAGGTTGTTGTAAAGAATTCGACGGCACATCTTTTAAAAAAGAAATCAGGATTTTATCTTTTGTCTGCATAGAGATATGTACAAAATAAACTATACAGCAAACATTTTAGAATAGTCGATACTTAAAATTCCCATGTAAAAAGAAAACGGAAAAAGATAGAATTTAATTGATTAAAATCATAGAATGTTACTCAGATTAATTTATTTTTAACCGATTGACATCGAATAAGATGTATCTTTAAATATAAAAAATTAAATTTTAATCGACTTTAATGTTATTTATCGGCATTTCTTACATGACCGAGTATCGATTGATATCATATCTCGAAGTGTGATATGTGTGTTAAAGGTAGATCCAAGTGTCATACTTACCATTTGCTGAGTCAAGAAGTCCGAAAAAAAAGCATTAAATTTCTTATTTTGACCGATCAAAGAAATCATTGAGCAGCTATATCAAGTCGTTGATCAACAAGTCTCTTCGCTATTGAAGAGATATCTGTTCACACGTCTTCGAAGTCTTATTTAAACAATATCAATGTTTACATTTGCATTTTTCTTTTAATCTTTATTTAACATTTCATTCTTGTTGTGGTATTATTCATAACATATCTTTATATCGAATTGAAAATGAATCTCAAGGAAAAAAATCGATCCTTTTCTGAAGGAGCAACATCAACAAGATATTTTTTTACTGGAAATTTTATTTTCAAAAAAATTCTTGAAAATAAATTGCTATTCAATTGGTCAATCATATTCGAACAATAAAACGATTAGTTATTGAAAAAGAACTTCTAAAAGAGTAT